ATACAATGGCTGTTAATATATATATATATATATATATATATATATATTTGCAGGGTAAATAAAAGAAGGAAAGAAAAATAATTGACAAAAACACAATGGCTGTTAAATAATAAGATTATATATATATAAAAGTGAACATAGAAGTCAACACTTAGATGCGACAGTCTGTTTCATGCTAGATGCAATCGTCAGGTCATCGTCATGCAATTGCATGAAACAGACTGACGCCTCTAAGTGTTGCATCTATGTTCACTTTATATTTACACACGCTCTATCTCTGATATTGAGCACTTTATCCCATAAATATAGCACATCTTAAGACTATATTTCTTCATATATATATGTGGACGGTGGAGTAATGGATAGCGGCTTGGATTGAGGAATTGCGGAGCCGAGTTCGAATTCCAGTTGAATCCATTACATTCACTTACATGCTAATACCCTTGGGAAAGGTATGAATCCTCTTACTCTCCCTCCAGCTATGGATAAATAGCAGGAAAGACTGGGTTCTATAGCCTTGGATGGCAACTGGTCTAGGAGAAGGACAACTCTGAATTCAAAACCTGCGGAGGGTCGTTTGGGAACCATGTGGCATTCGGTGCACCAGGTCTCTGTATTCGTCCCTTCAAAAAGTGTGGATGGTCCTGCACGAGGCCTTCACCACTATAATCAAATCTCATGTGCCGGTGTCGGGCTGTCGGTTTCCTGGAAACTGATCTGCTTGACCCCCATATGTCGAATCTCGACGGGAGAGTTGATTATATATATATATATATATATATATATATATATATATATATATATAACATGCATATCATATATACTTGCATATCATGGTATCATGTGACGTTTGAAGACCTAATTTTGAAGGTAATATTAAGGGGTCACATCATACACAAAATATGAAATTAGTGTATGTACTGCTAGCCCTGGCTATGCCATTGACTGAACTATATATCCATTTACCATAGACAAATTATCTTCAAAAGTAGGTCTTCAAAGTTTCCATGATATGTGAATATATGTGGTACTTAATGCTTCAATCTATCTTCTTGAAAGACAACTTTGAATTCAGATACCCTACCAATTAGGCATGCTTCAACATGGTAGAGTAAGGCCCTTTATTTTCTATGTCATACAGATCTTGGGGAAGGTGTGATTTCTGAAGTAGAGAAAATGTCAGATATGCATAAATAAATATATTATTTCGGATGGACTTTCATCTACACACTCTCAGATATTTGCAGAAGCTTATACAAGAGAGACAGGCTTTTCTGCATCATCTACAGGAGAGAGTTGAGTGGCCAGAGAATTTCAAAACCCTGCAGAACTCTCACTTTTTCTTCAATCGCAGTTGGTTTCAGTAAGAGAGATTGCCCGATAGATTTTGCACCTTCTATTTCCCACTGATGAAGATTGAATGATGGATTGTCCTTTAAAGGGAATATTTGTTTCTCTTTATCTCCCTCGGTCAAAGGCTAACTTCACAAATAAGAGCATCTTCCATCTTTCACACATTTTAACCCTTTTTATCATACATTCAAAATTTGTGTATTTCCATGAGTTTACAATATATACTCACATTCAAAATATAATATATATATATATATATATATATATATATATATATATATATATATAATATTAGAGGTCAATATATATATATATATATATATATATATGTATAATATTAGTGGTCAATATATATATATATATATATGTATAATATTAGTGGTCAATATATATATATATATATAATATTAGTGGTCAAATATATATATATATATATATATATATATATATATAATATTAGTGGTCAATATATATATATATATAATATTAGTGGTCAATATATATATATAATATTAGTGGTCAATATATATATATATATATATATATATATATGATATTAGTGGTCAATATATATATATATATATATATATATATATATATATAATATTAGTGGTCAATATATATATATATATAATATTAGTGGTCAATATATATATATATATATATATATATATATATATATACATATACATACTTAACTTAAACTTAATGTTAAATAATCCTACATAATATAATGGATTCTAATACATTTAACTGTTCTTAAAAAGAATATAGTAAAATAAAAATTAAAAAGGAAAATATTTCAAATCGTAGTTAAATAAAAAGTATTGTAAAAAAAATCTTTAATTTTAAAAGATGACGTTGAAAATTTTTTACCGTTAACAATTTTTTTTTTTTTTTTTTTTTTTAAATTCAGACGACATCCATTCAACCGACGTCAGGTTTCAGTGTAAAATACATCCTCACCCCTTACCAATTTGAAGCTAATAACTGATACAATGATACTGTCATAAGGAAAATCTAGACACCCGTGTTCAATTTGAGTAGAATATTCTGTAACCATGGAAACGTGATTTTAGCTGTGTATTTAAAACCAGTAAATTTTAAAAGTTACTCCAAAATTCGCTTGAAGATGAAATGGAACTAATGCTTTTAATTTATTTGCAAAAATAAAATTAGGGGTTTTTAGCTTCTATTTTTGAAACATGGTTGGAACTGTGTAGCGAAAATAACCATATTTTAAATCAATTAATTTATAATATATATATATATATATATATATATATATATATATATATATATATATATATAATATTAGTGGTCAATATATATATATATATATATATATATATATATATATATATATAAATATAAATAATATTAGTGGTCAATATATGTATAAATCCAAGATGACAGAATCCAGGTAATGTGACTTTTGAAGACACAGGACAGAGCAATAAAAAAAAATTATTTGAAACAAAAAATTTGATTTTTTATACCCAGTTATATTCTCTGATTTCTTTTTGAATTTATAGGCCTGATGAATTGGATCATGATTATGATTACAATGTAATAAATTATGACCATGGAATATTACTGTTTTGAGCCTTTATATATATATATATATATATATATATATATATATATATATATATATATACGTATGTATGTGTGGTGGGTGTCAATTATACCAGACAATATTTAATATAATACAGAAAAACTATGATTTGTTATTTTAAATTAGATATTTTCATTGCTTATTATTTTTAAATTATATATATATATATATATATATATATATATATATATATATATATACAAGCAAGTTTGGTTAAATAATTTAGACATATTATGTTTATTTATTTTAGTTTCAAGTCTACAAATTAATTTCTTAGTGTCTGTAGAAAATCGATCAAGAAAAAATACCAAAATCTTTTTTCAAATAATTTTTATTTCCCCATGTAGTTTCAGTGTCATTCAACACCATCTTCAGGCTGTTAAAGTATCTATGGATGTGTATACAGTAGCTCCATAAATTCAAAATAAATAGACATAATATGTCTAAATTATTTAAACAAACCTGCTTAAATGAAAGCATGCTGCCTAAATATACATATATATATATATATATTAAAAAGAAGAGTGAAGCTGCAACCATTTTTGGTTGTAATGGTTAAAAAAAATATTATGCTTTATTTTCCATAATTTTGCTACACGTATTTCCAGTCTTGCAAACTTCATCAGGCAAAGTGTGGAGATTTCCACATATTATTAAAAATAATTAATTTTTTCTTATGTTTTTCGATGTTAAATATTTTTGATATGAGACATTCTCTTTTTAGTGTGTTAGTGACCCAAATGTCTTTCTTGAACTGGCAGTGAAAAGTTCTGTGTGAAGGGTTATAAAACAATTAAGATTGGTCCGAGAAATGGTGAAGGAGTTATCGGCATTCTTATCTTTTAATGACCCCTGTGTGTTCTTAGATCTATTTCCATTTTCTTGTGTTTTTGTCAGCATGCATGTATATATGTATATTCCATCTCCATACATACACACTGTCTTATTATGAGGAATTAATAAACACATTTTTACACATACAAACTCATATACACACATATACATATACTTCCAAAGTTACAAGGAATCAGTATACACACACATACACACATATATATGTACATACATATACACATAATTGTGTGGGGTTTGCATGCCTGCCTGTGAGTATGTATGTATGTATGTATATATATATATATATATATATGTATTGTTTAATAAATAAACAGAGTGTCTTCTCAAGAGCAGGAAATAAGAAGACAGAATATATGAAATGACATTGCATTTAAATTTTTGATGATTTTCCTTGACTGGAACGACAAGAAAGCTGGAAGAGAGTTCTAAAAGTGTGAGAGAAGAAATATTTAATGTAGAACTTATAGTTATATCTAGCCAATCTAGTACTGCGCTTAAACTGAGATGCCATGTCAGGATCAATAATGTTGCTGATTCTTCTTTGAATTTTATTAAGAATCTCTAAATACATAGCTGGAGCACCGGACCATATATGACAGCAATATTCAAAGCATGGATGAACGGTAGACACTAATAATGTTTTAGCATAGTAACAGCTTGAATTTTTTATGAAACAAGCAATAACTAAAATATAAATAATAACAAATTGATAGTAAGCATAATAATGTAAAACAATAATAATAATGACATATGACAAGAATAATATTTCTAGTTTTTGTTTTTGTAGTAAAATGACTTCTCCATCTGCAACCATAACTAACAGTTGTTGTTAAAACAACAACAATAAAAGCAGCAACATCATAACAATGGCAAGACAAATACTAAAATCCCTTTAAGTCAGAATATGTCAAAAATGGGATAAAATCTAAAAAAAAAAAAATAAAATGAAGAAAAAAATTTAGAAAAAAGACCCCAACTGCCTTTGGGAATGTTTTTAGAATGAGTAAGTCTGAAGCGAAAGTGAAAGAGAAAAGCGACAGCAGAAATCTGAGAATTACTGGAAAAATAGAAGAAAACAAAATGCATTTCTGAAAAAAAATGTAGTCGAATGGAATAGATATTTTGGCAAAGGCTCAAAGACAATGGGTAGGGTTTAAGTAAAAGAGAGAAAAGTTTAGAAAAAAAGAAAAAGGAAGTTATAACAATAATGAAAAAAAGGAAAAAAGTAGGAAAACAGGATAAAAAGAAAAGTAAAATTAAAAAAAAAAAACACAGATGGAAGAAGAAAGAAAAAAAGGAACAAATGAAAATAACTAAGAATGAAAATAGAGTTGATTAAAAAAAAGAAAGGAAATGAATAGAAAAAAAATAGGAAAAAAAGGAATAATGGCGAAAAACAGAAAGAAATGAACCAGTACAGAAAATAAAAACAGAAAAGTGCAATTATAAAAAAGAAAAATGAGAGAAGTGGCAGTTAAAACATATTAATAAAGATAGGTGTGAAAAGAAAGAAATAAAAAATAAGTAGAGAAGGAAAATTAATGAATGAAAAGACAATGTTAAGTTGGAGATACAAATATAATACCTTGAAGAAGAAGAAGAAGGAGGAGGAGGAGGAGGTGAAGAGTGAATGATGGAAAAAGAAAAGTTATAAAAACAAAGATAGAAGAAGAAGAAGAAGAAGTGTGTAGAGTAAAAAAAAGAAAAAGAAAACATTAAAACCAAAGAAGCAGAATGGTGAAGAATAAAAAAGATGAAAAATCAAAAAGATATAAGGAAAGAAAGGAATGCGATATGAAACAAAAACAGAAAAAGAAGAACATTTAAAAAACAAGGACGAAAGGCAGAAAAAGAAAGCATATAATGAAAGAAAAGAATGAGATATAAAACGAAGAAAGAAAGAAAGAAAAAGAAGAAGAAAAAGAAGAAGAAGGGAGGGAAAGAAAAGCTGTTACATTTAACAGTTAAAGTTACTTTTGCTTTTGTGCTTAGAACAAAAATGATAGCAATGACTGATGATGGCTGATACTTTAAGTACTTGATCTATAGTAACTATGATGATGATGGTGATGATGATGATGTTACTGTTCTGCATAATGGTTGTCTAAGATGATGATTAATAATAATCATCATAGTAATGATATCGATAACAGCACGATGTTGGCAGGGACTGTTTACCAGAAGACATGATATCAAGATTAAAATGATTGTCAGAAACTGAAAATGGCTTCTGAGTGATTTAAAAGGGACGTTATGATTAGAACACAAAATTATACTCCTAGAAATGATAGAGAAATGGGGGTGGGGATATACTGCTTTTGATGGCTAATCGCATGTTAATCTCAGTAATGGTGCAGGTAAAGAAATTTCAACTGTCTCTTCCTGATGTTAAGTATAAGTTTCCTTTTCATTTTTTATTTTCTCTAAAACTTTGTTGTTGCTCACATGTTTGGTCCATAGTATCCTCAGCATCCTCTTTTACAACCACATTTTTAATTTAAATTTTTGAAGGTCAATGTTGATTGGAAAGCAAGAAGCCAAAAGAGAGTTCCACAAGCACTTCTGAACAGTCTCTTTGTTTAAGTTGGTGAATGCTGCCATAATCCTTGCCTTCACTTCATCTTTGGTGTTACAAGGAAATTTGTTGGTCCCTCACTTAACAGTGCCCCACACATAATAATGAAAGGGGGTTGCAGTCTGGGGAGTTAGGTGGCCAGATGCAGGGGGTGATATAGTTGCAGAAAATGTCTGACAGTCATGACTGGTTTCTCTTTCTTGTGTGGCATAGTGCAGAGTCCTTTTGCAAGACAATAGGGTCTTCAGTAGCCACCCTCTTGACCCCAGGGCAGCACTTCCTCCTCAAGGCATGATGTAGACCTTCGTGTTGAGTCTGAATCCTTCACCAACAAATTTGGGAGTTCTTTTATCAGAATGATCTGAGTGGATTTTCCGACCTGACATACCTTCGTAATCACTATTTGACTCATCCAACTTTTTCTGAATCCTCTGCTCGGATTTGCACCCAAACACTCTGAAGCATTCGTGTTGGAGCTTCCAGCATGAATACCAAGCAGTACAGCATGCTGTTTCCAAATTTCTGCCAGAGCGAATTGCATCATGGTTCTCTTTTTCTCACAGATAGCGCCCAACTGACCCTACTATATTGTGCAGTCGACAAAATCAAAAACAAACAATGCATATATGCAAAATTAAAAATATAAAATGATAACAGTTTACCCATCTCACTCTGTATTAGGATATGTCTCTAATTTTTATTTAGATACATTGTAAAGGGTGTTCCAATTTTAAATGTGAATTAAGTTTAAGCGTCTAATGATTTTTTTCTTTTTCTTTCAGATTTGGAAGACATTTGGGCGATATTATTTTTCACCCATAATTGCCATGACTTAAATAACATGATCCAATAGAGAAATAAATAAATTTTTACCAATAACACTGATTTATTTACTGCTGACTTTGATCCGTCTTAATGAAACAACCTTATATATAATCTATCTTAATGAAACACTCTTTATTTATTTTCAATCTTTCTAGTTGAATTATTCACCTAAATTGCATGTGATCCATTATTGTGAAAAATTAGGTTACAATAAAATTTGTATTTTATATGAATACTACCTACTAAAATTGAGATGTCGTAGAAGGCACTGTATCATAGAATCAGGGTGGGGACCCATGAGACTCTTGCACCAGCCCTCTATCTATCTATCTATCTATCTGTATATTTATCAATCTATCTTTTGGTATATATGTTGTATTCTTAGTGCTGCTGTTGTGGTTTCAGTAGCAAGTAGGTTTTTATACGATGAAATTGCAAGTCCATCCTCCAACCAGTTTTGTATTCAACAATGTCCCAGTGTTTTATGTTCAAGGATCAGTGTTGACAAGCAATTAAACGATTTTTGTTCATAATTATAATATTAAAAAGAACATACACTACTGGCAACAAATAAAAATTCAGCAAATATGTTTTTTGTTGTTCTCGAGTCTTACCTTAATTGATTTATATCCAAAAAATTGTGGATGTGCATTGGTGTAATGGATATCGTCTTCGAGTGAGAACTTGGAGAGCCAAGTTCGAATTACAGCCGAGTTTGTTAGATTCACTTATGCACAAACACCCTTGGGAAAGGTATCCATCCATCTCTTCTACCCTCAGCTATGGGTTAAATAGCAGGATAGACTGGGTTCTTTAGCCTTGGTTAGCAACCAGTCTACTGCAGAAAGAAACGGCAACCTACTGTGAGAAAAAATCTGCCTCGCCAAAAGATACATGATCGCCCAAGCATGTATCATATGTATGGCCCTTAACTGACTGATCTGAAAAAAATGTTTCGTCTGAAGGACTATTTCAATGTTAATGACCCTTCTCAAAACTATAGAAAATACCAATTCATTATTTACATTATTTGGACTATTGTCCTCATCTTTGTCGCCATATTTATTACAACGTTTCAGCCATTGTATGCTCCGGCCTTCTTCAGGTGGTTGGAATGTTGAACTGAACCCTTTATTTCGCTCACTGGGGCAGACTGTTCTAGTTCCACGTGCCATGTTTAATGGATGTCAGTTATCAGTTATCACCTGTTAATTTCCCTCTCCAAGTTCTCCACTGCCTTAACCGGGTATTGAACTCACACTTTTTGGGTCCTGTCACTGGATCTAACTAACGCCTTTATCCACTGTGCCATGTGTCCTTGTTTGCGGGTATATTTATGATATCGAGGAATGTAATCCAATTACTCTCCTTTTATTTATACAGGTTCTTTGCCCGTCTCATTTGGATATTTTTTCTCATAGAATATGTTGAGATATATTTTTAATATTCAAAAACCTTTATCACCCACTAAAATTTCCAATTGCTCACCATTTTCTGCTCAGTTGCTCATCTCCCACTCAACAGCTGAAATTGCCCACCGGTGGATGATACTGACCAGGTTGGGAAACCCTGGTTTGGACGAAGTCAGTGCTTGTGATAACATGTGTTACTGACCTTGTTCAGCATAACTACAATATAAACCACAAATAGTTTCTGTGGATGTTGGACAAATACATGCCTGATCAGGCATCTGCAACAGGGACTGGCTAAGTGCATGAGTAGATATCCATTATAAACTTTTTCTTATATTCAAAGGTTTTCTTACACTCTATTTACTTTAATGACTAAGATAGTCAATAAGTTTGTTAGTCCAATTAAAGAAGAAAATAATACTCTTCTTAATTATCCTAATTAATCCTCTATCGTAATTGATCATTTCTTGATTGATTTTCTTCAGCGATTCTCTTAGACACTCACAATATTTCTCTTTGGTTATTTTTGCAGGCAAATTTCCCCACAAGTTTTTTTTTTTTTTGGCAACCAATATGATTGCTTATCTGTTTCTTTCGAACTTGAACCTTTTATGTAGGCAAAATGGACTAAGAAAGTGCTTGAAAAAAAGAGACAAACCAAAAACTTTTTTTTTTTAAGCATTACGCCCCGAGCAAGGTGTGACGCCACTAGGATGCAGGGGTTTTTTTACAGTAAGATTCACCCTGTACAAGATCCAGGAGGCCACTTGAAGTAGAGAGTCATGTTAAGTGGTAGGACAGGAAGATAACATTTGACTCTAGACTGGAACAGGTTGAGATTGTAGCGATCAGGGAAACATCCTCTTCTTGCAAACCACTGCTCTGTGATTTGCACGAAGAAGCTGAGTGGAACTTACTTCTCACCAATGGAATACAGAGTGGGTGTGGGTGGTTTACAACTATATAAGTGGTATGGCAGGTCCTAGCCATGAAGGTCAGACCTGGCAGAACTGAAGAATGTAGTTTGGCCAAGCACTTTCCATTTTTTTTTTTTAAGCATTACGCCCCGAGCAAGGTGTGAAGCCACTAGGATGCAGGGGGTTGCAGAAGATTTGGAGCGAGAGCAGATAGGAGAGATAGAAGACAGGATGAGGAGAAGGATAGTGGGTAGATCAAGGTAACTGGAGGTGTCGATTGACATTACATTTGAATAGTTGGAGATTATAGCTCTCAGGAAACAGTAATTGGGAAGGGTGTTCACAGGCGAGCTAAAAGGAGGTATGAAGCTATTGGAGTAGAAGAGACGGCTACATTTAAAAGTTTCTACAGTGTAAGGGTGGGAGCAGGATGCCAGCCTCGTAGGGCACTTGAATTCATGGAGTCTGGGGACCAGTGAAAGCAGCTCATCGGAGCAATTACCATGAAAGTATTTGTAGAAAAGACAGAGAGAGGTGACGGCACGTCTGTGAGAGAGTGACTGTAGACAAGACGCCAGATCAGGGCCAATTATATTACATATCCGTCTCCGGATCTTGTCAAGAACTCCGAGGTAAACAGAAGGTGCCTTGGAGTTCTTGAGAAGATCCACAACTAGATCAACTACCACAGAAATTATTATTTGACAAGATCCACACAAGATCAACTGCCACAGAAATTATTATTTGACAAGATCCACACAAGATCAACTACCACAGAAATTATTATTTGACAAGATCCACACAAGATCAACTGCCACAGAAATTATTATTTCAACTTTTAAGTTCTCGATTCAGACATTTATATGATTTAAAAGCATTACAAGAATATTTTACAGTAAATGTACATACATTTTTCTTTTTTTAATCGTTTCCCCCCTAACAAGGTGTGATTGCAACTAATACACAGGGGATTGCAAAAAGTGAAAGTGAGAGGAAGGACTGGGTATAGATTGGCATCGAGAAAAGGATAAAAGATGAATGGGCTTCAAAACAAAAAGAAGATGGCGGTTGACATTGTATTTAAATTTTTGAAGATTGTAGTGCAAGTAAAGAAAAGCAAGATCCACAGGTGGTAAGTATGGGAAAAGAAACTGCTGGAGTAGAAGTGGCAGTTGCATTTAACTATTTCAACAGTAAAAGGGTGGGACCGATATGCCAATCTAGTAGTATACTTAAATATATGTAGTTGGGGCACCGAAGAAAAAACTCATCAGGCCAGTTGCCATGAAAATATTTGTAGAAAAGACAGAGGGAAGCCACATTACGTCAGTAAGAGACTGAAGTCAAGATGTCAAGTCAGGATCGGTTACGTTGCAGATCCTATTTTGATTTGGTCAAAAACTTCGAGATGATCAGCTGGGGCACCAGACGATATGGCAATAGTACTTAATGCATGGACAAATGGTAGATTTGTAAATGTGAAAGATGGACTCTGATGAGAAAAACCTTCTTGCATGACATGGTAAATCAACTTTCCTGGCAGTAGATGCAGCTATTGATTCAATGTAGTTGTTCCAATGCTTATATATATGTAGTTAAATTCCCAGATCAATTCTGTGGACAAGACAAATTCGTATAAGATGACAACTGGAAAAAAATCTTACTTTTTTTGCCGATGCATTTCGTTTTCAGACTTTTTCAAGGCAAAAATAAAAGTGAAATGTTTCGTTGTTATAGTTACATTACAAAATCCAAATTATAAAAGGAAATTTACATTAACCAGAAAGAGGCTTACGCAGAAGTGTCTCTCTTTTTTAAATTTAGATTTTATAATGTAACTATAACAAGAAAATCATTTCAATTTCATTTTTGCCTTGAAAAAGTCGGAAGATGAAACGCATTGGCAAAAAACTAAGATTTTTTTTTCCAACTGGCATCTTATGCCATATATATATATATATATATATATATATATTAATAAATATACATATACCTATGTTTGAAGTGCAACTTAAAGTTTCATTTTTCTACTAAATCATCAGGCACAAATTATTACTATTGATTTAAAAAAAATGTATACTGGGTCTGATGGGAGTAATGCTAAATTAACTGCAGATTCAAAGCTCAAATTCAATATAAACTTAATATAATATTGGGGTGTAATAATTTATGCCTGATGAGTTGCTAGAACAACAAAACTTGCACTTCGAACATAGGTATATGTATATTTATTATATACTCCTTAGCTTTGTTTAACCACAGTGAGCACTATATTGTTTACATCTTAAATTAAATTGAGTAAATATTTATTCACTTACCTGTGTATGCACACTAACGCACATATATATGATTGCTAATATCTAGTTGTTTGATTTATCCACATTAATACCAATATATATATATATATATATATATATTGTTTCTCTTAAAATATTGTAATCCTGGATAACCCACTTTCCGTCTAAATTTAATTTTAATTTTCCGCCCACTTTTATTTTGGGTCATACACCAATTACCTCCCTCTAACCAGTCAAACGTCTTTTACGAACAGTGTCCAGCGTTCAAAATTTTAAATTTTAAGCGTACTTCAATTTCCCTTTTTTTTCTCTTATTGACTCATACCTACGCCTCATTTCCTGCACTTAAATAGCGGTATTGCTTTAGTACTATTTTTGTGCTATTTTAATTTTGAACTATGAATCAGCATCCATCCTATGAGCATCTGTATATTTTTTAAAAATAAACAATAAGCTATATTGTGTGCCTGATGAGTTGGGTAACCAACAAAACTTGAGTTGCACAACAAACCTAGGTATATATGTATTAGTATATATTTCTTAGCACTGTCTAATCACATTGAGCACTATTATGTCGACACCTCTTGGTTAAATTTGCTAATTATTTATTTGCTTGCTAACATATGCATGCCAGAACATGTGTATACAGTCACTAATATCTAGTTATCTCATTTACCTAATCCAATACCTCTTTTTTTTTTTAAAGCAAATTACAACAAGCAAGGCAGGAGTGCCACTAACACACAAAGGGTTACGGAGGATTGAGAACAAGAGAAAAGAGGAATGTTTGAAGAAAGAATACAGAAAAGGATGGGAAACAAGCTGAGGGTGTCAGATGTCGATTGACATTACACTTGAATATTAAAAGATTATTGTCATCGGGGAAGCAAATAAGGGGAAGAGAGTTTCACAGACAGGAAGTGCGGGAGAAGAAGAGATGGTTATATTTAATCATTTTGACAGGGAAAGGGTGGGATTGAGATGCCAGTCGGGTCACTCGCTTAAGTTCATGCAGTCTGGGAACCAGCAAAAATAGCTTGTCAGAACAGTTACCATGAAAATACTTGTAAAAGAGACAGAGTGGGGATAGCGATTGTAGACTAGATGCCAGACCAGAACCTATCATCTTGCATATTCGTCTCTGGATTCTGTTGAGGACCTCGAGACGTACAGCCTATATATATATATATATACTAGCAGCATGGCCCGGTGTTGCTCGTGCTTGATTCAAAAATCATATGACTCATACACCAATCGTTATCACTTGACTTAAAATATTTTTGCCCTTTGCTGTGCTGATGTTGCTACATGCCTTACTTCTTGCCTATCTCACACTGCAGTTTTTTTCTAAGCTCTATACTAAATATTAAATCTGTTATGAAAAAGAACTAAACAAAATGAACACAAAATGATCAGCTTTAAAAAAGGACTCGTAACTGGAAAAACCGAATGAAAAAAAAATGTTAACAACAAATACAACAATTTTTCACACCCAACCCAGTTCTGCGGAATCAGAATCAATGTTGAGTTTAAGCAAGCAAATGAGCCAATTGGAGTAAAGTGCCATGCAGATTTAAATTTTTCCCACTTGTGACGAATGCAGCTATTGATTTTTTTTGCATGCTAGTTAACATTCGTATCAGTCAGCTGTTGGCTCTCACGCTGGCCAATAGAATCTTCCTGCCTATTCGTGGCAGCCAGCTATAGGCTCTCACTCTGGCCAGTAGAAAATGGCTGCAAACTACATGAAAACTGCCGTAGAAGCATGAAAAATCTATTATTTCCACTATTGATGGGAGTTGAGAATTGCAAAGTTGGTCATGGCCTTTCCGCTAACTTGGAGCATGTGCATATAAATTTTGGTGCAAATCCGTTGAAAATTGCGGCTGTGCATTCGTTACACACACATCCTGCCTTTTATATATATATATATATATATATATGTGTGTGTGTGTGTGTGTGTGTGTGTGTGTGTGTGTGATTTTACACATACTTTCATGTATTTATGTTTACGGAGAAACATTTTCATGTACATATTCATCTATATTAATAATTAAGAGACTTGGAATAAAATGAAATGAAATATTAAATATGAAAATTGGTAAGAACAAATTACTTGATTCTAATATTATTTCTTTCCTTCTCATAATTAAAGTCCTTCAGAATTCATTCAATCTGCAACAGACCAAAACGTTTTAATTCATGTGTAAAATAAAAAATTTTCCCTTTTTAAATTTGTGTGCAAACTGAGTAATTTACATTACTTGGTGCCAATGCATTCAATGTATGTAATGTGTATAAAGATATGTGTAAACATAACACTACACAGACACTTTTATAAAGTAAAAATCCTATCACGAAAATATTTTTAATTTCTTAAATGGTTAATATTGGCGTATATATTGTTTTACACTGTCAATCTGTATTTGGCTATGTATTTATATATGCATGCATGTATCTAATGATTATCCAAGCCTAGCTTAGATGTGGCACAAGAAATAGACACCCAGTGAGAATTGAACTCACTACTCAGTTATCTAATTGTTTTAGCGAGAGAAACTTGCTAACCATTACACCGCCTTAAGGTGCCCATGCATGTATCTATGTAGATAGATAGATATGAACAGAATGGGATACATATATAGTGAGCTAGATAAATATGAACAGATAGATAGATAGATACATATAGACATATATACATAATAGATAGATAGATACAAACAGAATGGGATACATAAATAGCTAGCTAGATAGATATGAACAGATAGATATATAGAGATAGATAGATAGATATGAACAGAATGTGGTACATAGCAAGCGAACTAAATATATATGAACAGTTAGATAGATAGATATGAATAGACTAAGATAATGAATAGATTGACCGAGATAGATTGATATAAATAGATTAATATATCTATATCTATATATATATATATATATATATAGATAGATAGATAATTGATAGACTGATTGATATAGATAGATAGATATGAATAGATTGACTAAGATAGATAGATAGATAGATAATTGATAGACTGATTGAGATAGATAGATATGAATAGATTGACTAAGATAGATAGATAGATAGATAGATAATTGATAGACTGATTGAGATAGATAGATAGATAGATATGAATAGATTGAC